CTTACTTGGTTTTGAAATTTGGGGTCTTCTCAATTGTCCATAGCTGCCCTCTGACTTTGGGATGAGGTCAGTATTATCAAACAGATGATCAATGGGTTATCACAAGCATCAGCTTACACCAAATATCAACCTGTCTGCTCTAAACTTCACACCAATTCACTAACTCAGCAGCCTTGTACTAGTCCAAATCCTTCAAAAGCAATATGCTGTCACTATTGTCCTCACTATTTCTATTTATATTACAATTGCTAAAAGAACTCTTTATTGCAATGCCTTGGCATTCTAATGCATAAGCCTCTGGCAGCTTTCAATAAAGTAATAAGGAACAATGAGGTAAAAATAAGTATGAAGCAATGCTTTTTAATATTTTAATTTAAAAAACACTTTAAAATGAATGGTAATGTTTAGTGTGTAATAATTAAGTCATAAATGCATACCTCTAAAAATAGAGTTTGCTTAATATAGCTTTAAATCAGGCTAGGTGCAAGTTACACAGATGATTCTATTCAGAGCAATCTTTTTATACATCATTTCCCTACATCCCTGTCAATAAAATAGCAGTGACTGCAGAATAAATGATTCATTAGGCTCTTATAACTTCTTGTCTCATGTAATTTATCTACATAATTTTAAATTACTAGAGACTCTCAAGGATCTTTTCTCACTAAAGTGTTTTGAAATTATCCATATTTTATTAAGTTTCAAGGACAACCCTTCACACACACACCCACACACCCTCACATTTGAAATTAAGTAACCATTTAAATTGCTGTCATAATTCATATATTCATAAGGGAGGAAACTAATGCTAAATTAGAAAGTTACATTTAGCAAACCATTCATCCTTTTTTATCTGTTACCCAACAACTGGTGATTAGAAGGACTTGAAGCTATTTTAACCCCCTGGACAGCGAAATCCACTGTCAAGGATCCTTGGTTAGGCTGCCTTTCGCAATGGAGTGCCCTCCTCCTCGCTGTACTGCATATATAATAGGCGTGAGTGTTCTCCAAGTTGGTATAGCAATTTCCTACATTATTCCCGCAATAAAAATGCGATTTAGCCAAATATTAAATTATTGCAATTACAGATCTGTTAATCTATCGCACATTTTACTCATTTGTGTAACTTTAAAATTCACTTTCATTTGATTGACTGTTTTAATCTTCCTTAACTAGTGAGTAACTGAAAATAAATGGTTTCGTTCCTAGCACTGCGAGGACGAAAAATAGGAAGTGCTTAGGGAGTGCAGGGGAATATATTAAAATCTGTCCGTTTTCTCGTTTACATATTCTCATTCTGTGTGTGTACACACCCACTGCAGTGAGAAGGCAGAGCCCCAATTCGCGGTCTCACAAAAGCACCGCGCTGGTTCCATGTGTTGACAGCAGAAATTGGCCCACATCTCGAGCCATTTCCTCGGAAGACCCTGGCTGGCTGGTGCCATCCAGGTGCCGCACACTCGGAACAGGGGCGCCTGGGATCAGTTCCACGCATCTGTCAGTGCGGTGGCTCATTCTTGAGAGACTGCGATTGGCTGCTTGGGACCTGAGCGCCATCAATCTTACCGGGTAGGGGACGGCGGGGCGGCCTGTAAGAGGCTGAGAGAGGGGCCGGCCGGTCCAGCGCGGAGGAGGCGGCCTTAAAGTCCCGCTCTCCCTCCGCTGGGGCCCTGAGTGAAAGATCTGTCATCTCTCCCATTTCCTGGTGCTTGGTATGCACATGGTGTCCGCCTGCTCCTGCTCCAGGAAAGAGGCGATTTTTCAAGCTTAGGCAAATGTGGCAAAGCGCAGGGTCTGCTGGGGTCTCATTTTTCCTCATCAAGTCACTGGTTTGAACGGATTTGAGAAAATAAGATTATGTTTTTCCTCTTTGCTCCTTTATCCAGCTATTTGTTTATTTATTTGCTCATTTAGAGGTGGGTTGTCACAGAGAACTGGCCCGATTTCTCTCTTGTTTTCATACACATTTCATTAGTGTCCCTGAAGATTTAAGACCCCAAAGGGAAACATCCCAGATCTCATCACAAAAAGCATAGATTTACTCTTAAAATCAAAACAGAAGGCCGCATTAAAGAAGACCGTTTCTGAATGAAATAATCTAGAATATTGCCATGTCCAAGATCTATTGCTTTAATCTTTTCAGCTATTCTTAAAACCCCAAGGAAGTTGAATAAACATATTACATACATTGGACTTTCAATTTAATATCGTTTTAATCTTTCTGTGTCTGGAAAGAATATTTATAGTTTCTTCATTTCATCAATGAATCTGAAATGAGTCTCAAATATAAAAGCACTTGGGGTTGAAATTGGTGTCAGCGCTGGTTTCCAGGGGTATTTGAAGTACAGATTGATGACATAACACTATGCATTGGTGATCATAAGCAATTTCTGAGGGTAGACAATGAGAAAACTAATACTGAGTTTCACTTCAGCCAGAACCTAATGGTGTGTTTCTGAGTTTAAAATTATAACATTTTTATAATAAGCCTCATAAAGACATGGGTTTATTACGTAGCATAGTCATAACCCCTCATTAAAAAAAAAAAACCCCGAAGATTAATTGATTACCAGAGACAGTGTATGTGGAGCTTATTGCAAACTGCGCTGTTTCTCCTGACTGTATGCATCGAGAGGAAAACAAGACACATCGCATTTGGTGACTATGCTAGCCAGGTACCATGTAGTTTAAAACAACAGCAAAAGTAAAAACGAAGTTTTGACCTCGGTGGATGGACTAGATGTGTGAACCGCAAATGTTGGTCATCAACATCCCTGGCCTTCTGTCCTCAGCTGGTAAGTGGGACGATGTCAGTAATTCCTGATATTAATGAAGAGCTTTACAACTTACAAAGCGCTTCCGAGGAGATTGCTCCATTTACACCCCAAACATCCTCGAGGGGAGGGAAATGGAGCCCAGGAAGAAAAGGGACTTGCCCAAGGTCAGGGCACTAATGTTAAAAGGCATGGCCAGTTCTGCTCTCTGCTTCATTATATGCCACCCCCTCCCCCTAAGCCCCCCTCCCCCGCCCGTCCGCCACGCCCCCTTTCCGAATGGCTTCGCAGTTCAAGTGAGTCCATGCATTGACATAACTTGAAAGTTTTCACAGATTTTGCCAAGGGACTGCCAGTTCCTCAGGGGCTACTTGGCATTGTTCTCTGCCCTGAGAGGCAGTGCTGACAGCCTCCTGGGGACCAGGCTCGGGGGGAATGACTGGCCTGGCCGCCAATGGCCGTCACTGCCCTGTGGTCTCAGCCACCCCGTCCCTCAGAGCTTCCCTCTCGGAGGCCGGAGGAGGGGGAGGGGCTTGCACGGACTTGCACAAGGGCCAGGCCGAGCCACTTGCATTAACCTGGGGAGTAACTGAAACTCACCACAGTTGCGTTTGTTAAGTGTCCCTGCGGTTAAGCAGGACCAGGAATGCAGGTTCCCCGCGCGATTTGTATGACTATGTAACAAGTCAAAGACATTCTTGCCAGAACGGATCCGTGACTAACTGACTGGAGGCGACGTGCGGGTTCCCAAACCCACGTCTGCGGCTCCTCCGCCTGGCACCGGAGCCTGGGTGCCCGGCGGTGCGGCTCCGGACTCCGGACCCACGCGGCAGAAAGGCGGGCGCGCCCCGCGATGGAGCGAGACCCAGGCCCACCTGCGGGGTCCCCGGCCCTCGCCTCCCTCCTCCTCCAGGACGTGGGGAGCGAGGGTGGCTGGGCCCCAGGCAGCCCCGGCGGCTGCAGCCCGGATCTCGGGCAACCCCCGACCCTCCTCCCGGGCGACCCGGGCTCCGCGGGAGCAGCTGGCGCGCGGGAGGACCTGCCGCACCCGCTCCTGGCGGCCGCCCAGCCGGATGCAGGGGCGCCGGCAGGTGATGCTGGAGGACAGGACCAGCCCGGGAGCCGGGATCCGGACCCGAGCGCCGCCTGCGGAGCCGGGAGGCAGAGGCGTGGACGCGGCGGAGGAAGCCGGCGGAGGCGGGAGGCCGGGGGGCGGCGGGTTTGGAGAGGGGGGTGCAGGGCCGGTAGCCATGAGAACTGCGGCTCGCGAGCTCGGGCGCAACTGGTCCCCGGAGCTCTGACCTGGGGGCGGCGCCCGGAGACGGCGGGAGAAGGCGGGGGTGCAGGAAATGGACGCAAAGGCTAAAGCTAAACCGAAAATGGACGGAAATCTTTCTGAGAAGCTGAGCGGGTGCGGACGATCGAGCTGGGGAACAGTGATGAGAAAGCTGGCGAGGCAAAGGAGGCGAGGAACCCCCAGATTTAAGAGCGAGGCCACGAAAGGGTAAACAACATATTTTGAACAGAAAGATCAAGAAAGCAAAATGCTTCCAGAACTCAAAATCCAATACAGGGAAAACACCCAACCAGGTTCAGGGGAACTGGCCCCTGAAGCTGCCGAGAGAAGCCGCGGAGATACTGGTGAACAGAAAGGGAAGAAAGGGAGAAAGGAGGGAAGACAGATTATACCAGACAAGAAATAGTAAGTTACTTTTTAATTTCTTTTTCATTGACAAACTATTTCCAAAGTCAGTTTGGGCACGAATATTCCCACAAAATTCTTAGCCCCTTACACACCAAGATGATAGTATCTACACTAGATAAAAATGCATCCAAGAATACACACACATTATTTCGTCAGTTGCAAAGATCGTTTTTGTCCCCCTAAAAAAATCTCCAAGTCTTGAAAATTATCCCACCTCTTATAGAATATTCTATTTTTGGCCCAAGTACACAAAACAAAGGACTTTTCAGTGTGTGTGCGTGTGTGTGTGTGTGTGTGTGTGTGTGGTGGGCTCTTCAGACAACCCCATTTTTGAGAAGTTAATAGAAATACCGCCAAGCCATTTTAGTGACCCCCTTTTCCCAAGGCCTCTAGCCAACAATATGTCTTGGAATTCAGAGGCGAGCTGCCCAGACCACAGCACTGGAGTCGCCTGCCTTCACCATCTGTTAAGGAGACAGCGGTGAGCCTGGGGGCTGCAGCGAGCCGAGCCAGCGGCTTACCTGGTCTGTGCAGGTGGGGCTGCTGGAAGGTGTGCTGGAGGGCTCCGTGGCAGAGCAGCATGGCACAGGCACTTATCCACAGGTACAGGGCCCAGGACATCGCCGAGACCACCGCCATGCTCTGGAGGGGACAGCAGACAGGGAGGGTCAGCCCCAGCTCCCAGGCCCCAGCCCACTCAGTCCCACTGAGGAGAGCAGGGGGTCTGGGCTCATGCCCCTCTGCTGCTAGAAAACAAGGCCAGCAGAGGTCATGCCGCGCAGCAGGACTGAGGAAAAGCACTCTCTGGAAGATCATGCATTCGTTTGTGAAATTCAGCAAAACCAAACTCCAAGAATTGCCAAAAGACAAAAATAAATTAAAGTTTGCCTATGGCTTAGGCAGTTTGAAACATAGTATCCTAACTAACCTTCCTGCTTGACACACTGATCTGTGACAGTTTTTCCAGGCACTGGAGAGCTGCACACTCCTGCTCATTCTAACTTCATTGCAAGTCTGACATAATGAAAGGAAAGAGTGGATTCTTTTTTTTTTTTAATTCTACAGTCATGAATTTTTAATCACTATGCTATCTTCTAAACTAAGTAATCATTTCTCAGAGGCATGTTGTAATCTCCTGATAGAATCCGTCTCTCTGGCTGGACTTAAAATCAGAAGGAATTGTCTTCAGCCAGAATGAGTTTCACATGCAAGACCTGTGCGTCTGTCATAGAGCAAGCCGTAATTTACAATATTGCTTCGCATCCTCGGATCCCGTTGTGGCATTTGAGGTACAGTGTAGATGAATATGCATATACAGGTGGTGTATGCATTTATGGATGAGCACACACCTTTTCACAGGCACCGAAACTTTGACAGTCTTATCTGCACCCATACGGACCTTAGAGCTGCAAAGGCTCAGCTACGCTACATAATGTCCAATTTCTCAAACAACACCTTCTGCCGCACTTCATATTGCCAGATTAATCAACTTGAACATCATCCTCACTCAGCCAGTGATAGGAAAGCATTTTCTACACAGGAATACAGTGAAGTGTATGCTATTCTCTTAGGTAGAGAGAGCTTTGGAACCAAGTTTGTTTCTTTTTCTTTTCTTTTTTTAATTTCCCATTGTCAAATCATACACTTCAAGTATTCCAACTATATATTTAAAACCTGCTAGTGACCTCCCATTGTGGCTTTTTTACTCATGGAAATTAGTACTCTTTCAAGAGACTGTAATTTTAGAAAGCAAAAATATGCATTATATGTGTGTGTATACAGACATAGTACAAGATAATTTATGGGTTTTAAGAGAGAGATGTCTTTAAGAAGGGTTTTAGGACTATAATAGACAAATGGTGACAAACATAATTAAGTGCAAAGTAGGAAAACATTATTTTCAACAGCATGGTGCTTTTCCGGCCCCAGTCTGGGATTCAGATGGACCATCCACTTTCTAATTGTCTCACTGCCCACTGTTTACTTTTGTATACAACAGATTTAGCTCATTGTCTCCAGAACTATCAGTGTAACATAGATTCATTCTCTTCAGCAGTTAAATAGCAACACCCCTCCTGGGAAGCCTGAATGAATGCATTTTGGGATCTTTGCAAAATACCCTGAAAATTATAGAAAGACAAAGCAGAGGTGACCGTGGCATGCACTGACTGCTTGTGAATTTCAGCTAAAATGCAGCAGGAATTAATCTAAACTTGAAAAAAGCCTCCCACAATCAAAATTTCACAGTTCAGTGCCTCTTGCTCATTTCATCACCCACTTGATCTGGGCACTCAGAAAGATTACTGTGACTTGACCTTTACAGGATTTTATTTCTTTTCCTTTCTTTTAAATTTAACTTTCTTTCATTCTCAGCATTACTTTCAAGGTCCCTACATATCGCTCCCATAGCTTACTCTCTATGTTGATAGGTGCTTTCCCCCAAATAATGCATGCAGCCTTACCTAGTTCCCTAGAGAAGACTGAATAGGTTACAAATCTGCTTTCTGAATCTTAAATCCTTAAAAGAGGCTTCTTACCTGAGAAATCCAGCCAGGAGCAGAGCTCTCTGTTAGTGTTCATTGGAAAGCTCTACCACTTTCTAAAACCCATCTGTGCCACAATTCGAGATATTTTTAAAGAGAGCTTCCAATAGTCTTCTTTATCAGGATTTTTTAAAAAATGTTTCTTCTCTTCTGATGCTATTTCCACAATAAAGGAGACATCGGGTTCATTCAGACTGTATTGTCAAAAGAGGAGCCAAGGTTTGAAGGCTGGAAACCTTGTCATTTTCACCTTTAAATCATCTCCTGGCGTCACCTCTGCCTGACGAGACCTTTGAAGTGATGGTGAGATAATGTGCAGTTTCCTGATGAGAATCAGTTTATAATTAATGACGGACCATCCCCTCTCCGGTGCATTCAGGGCAGAGTAGGCAGCAAAATGTAGGAGCTGGGCTGCTACACGGTGCTGTAAGTAGCAGGAGTCTGTTTCAATACATCCCTCCTCTGTAAAGTATCACATGTCTTAAAGTGACATTACCTCTATTACAGCTACAGTGGGATGTAATACCTGCCCACTAACTCTTCCACAACTCGAGCAGCACTGTAACACTGTAGTGCCTGGTACGTTAGGTTAGAGATTGTATCAATAACACTCATTTGCCAAAAGAATAAAGAAGGAAGGAGAAACAAAAGCAAAAAGCATTCTGCAAAATATTGATAACGTTAATGGGTATTAGACTTCTAAAGTAAATGGGAAAGTGAAATATGAGCCATTTCTAACCCCTTAATGTTCTTATAACCAATAAGTTAACAAAAAATGTTGGTAAGTTCATATACATTCAAGTCTCTCAAATGTTTTGACAGCTAAATCTGGGAATATGGCATATCTGGAATACAATATAATGTTTATCTGCATAAGCCCAATAAAAACCTTCTGAGTTTTTTTAACATGTTTAATAAATAGAAATATGTCATTTTCAGTATTAAAGTCTGGGTTTTGACAAATACATATGCTGAAAGCGCTATTTTTAAATGTCCCTCCTTCTCAAATAAAATGCTGAGATGGGAAGAGGAAATACTCAAAAGTTCAATATTTTGTTCTAGTGCTAAGGTTTGAACACTTTCTTCTTTGGAAATCTAGTGTGTTTGGATTGTACCTAAATATCAACAATGTAAGGTCACTTATAGACTGCATTGCACCAGCAGTGATTCTCAGAAATACTCATTCAATTCTTTCACAAATCCCTTATAAAGCACCTAGTATGTGCAGATGCATGGGGACAAGGCAGACAACACGATGGATGTGATCTCCATGGTCAAAGATTCTACTATCTAGTCTTCCGTGTTGTTTTGAAAATCAAGTTAATTCTTATAATTTTCCTCCTCAAAAACCTTTTGAAATGCTTCAGAATACTCTCTTGCCTTTTTGCAGGCATTATAAAGAAGGTTTGCTGCTGCAATGAATATCTGGAAGCCATTGTCTCTTCCCATTTTACAAACAATGGGAGAGTGAGGGGCCCTTCAGACTCATCAGTCTTTCCCCACTGGTCTTTCTCATTACACTGTGCACACATAATAGCTCTTTGTAACTTAACTGTTTAGTGAATCAAACCAATAAACAAATTTCAAGATAACAGTGACTACTAATCTTACAGTTAAAAATAAGTCAAACACCAGAGTTCTACTTGGTATTGTATGTTTCCTTTCTGTGGTTCATTATTGTTGTATTGGTGAATATATATAGAAAGTTGACACAGACTGGGCAATATCAAGACTAAAATAATAATAACATCAGTGGCAGCAGCTAATGTTTGTTAAGCCTTCACCATGTGCTGGTTCTACTCCATAGTATGTTTCCTGTAAGGTGTAATTCAATCCTTTTCACTGACCCCAGAACATATTGCTATTATCTCCATTTCATGAACAGTGAACTTGAGAGAGGACAGAGAGATTAAGAAATTTGCTGAAGGAAATAGAGCAAGTAAGTGATAGAGAAGGTTGCAAACCCCAGTGATTAGCTTAGGAGCCCATCTATTAAATACTGGGATAAAACAATTTCTGGGAAAAACAAACTACACAAAGTTAATTATTACATTGTACACTGAGTGGCCAGATTATTATGACCACCCCATCAATACAATGAAGTGAATTAGTTATGCAAATAATAATAATAATAATAATAAAACCTTGAGAGTATTTGCTTAGGAAGTTTTCAATATTCAGTATTTTTGGAAGTATCAATGAAGTACTGATGGGGTGATCATAATAATCTGGCCGGTCATAATAATCTGGCCATTCAGTGTACATTAACATTAAAACACTCAAAAAATTACTCACTTTTTTAAGAGGCAAATATTGAGTCCATTCCAGGCATTTGGAAAATAACAGTGTGGAGACTAGTCTTTGCCCTATGATTGCTCTTGTTTTTGTTCTTGCTAGCTAATGAATTAAAATGAAAAGGAAGTTCACATTTGCTAATAAAGGCTACCATTTTGAAAATCTGTAACCATTCTTTTTTTCATTTCTATGGATTTAATTAAGGCTCAATATAGTTCATTATCTAGAATTCAACTCATTTTAACAAACTTGAAACATGTTCTATGGATTCTGTTCAAGCCACTCAAATAGGAATTGTTGATAATTAAAATTTAAAAAAAATAAAATAAAAAAATTGGAAGAAAGACTTGCCCTTTAAGGTTTAAGTGAATTTCTATCTATGTATGTAATAAAACAAGAATATCAACACTTCCATTTTTTTCTATCAAATACATTGTAGTTGATTATATTGCAGCCAATTATCATTTATCCTAATAATATAAGCATCCATACACATTGATATTTAAGACAATTTAGTCCATTCTCCCAACTAAAAGTGAACTACTTTCACACATCTCACAGAAGTGTGGGCCTTTCTACCTTTGCAACTGTAAGCTTGCACCTCCTGATCCTTCATGGTTGGGTGGACTGTAAACGTTCAGCCAATGAGGTACCGCTTTAAAGTTGGAACATTTAAAGGTTGAAGCACCTCTCCCTCCCCAGACCTCTCTTTGCACTCTCAGCCTGGATCCACGACTGGCTACAAAGAGGAGAGGCCACCCATTTCCCATACCAACCCATAATGCATGTACATAATGAATAAGCAATAGTTTGTTCTTTAAGCAATTGAGACTTGGGGACTATTTGTTATTACAGCATATCCAAATCTATCCTGACTGATGAAGATTTTAGCCAGTATTATTCATATAACATTTTTTCATTAAACAATTTTTATGTCCTAGCCACTGTTCTAAGCACTGAGGAGATAGCAGTGTCTACATCTCACCAAGTTCCTACCTTCACTGAGCCCTCCACAATAGAAATACTTTGGAGGTTTTTTATTAGAGCAGTGTTAGGTCCAAAGCATTGATTGTTGCAGCTGGAGTATCTAAGAGTTCTCATAAACCAGGAGCTATAAGCTGATCACTTACGTTGCCCATGAGCATGCTCTGCTCAGCCGTTTTGTTATGCAGCACAATATTTCAAAAGGCAAAAGACCAGAGCACCATAGCCCATCCAGTTTCATCAATTCAAGACACTCTAATGAGTTGGGTGTTCAAACCACAATCCAGCTTAATACCTAAAGATACACCTTTCAAATACAGTGTCTGCGTAAATGCACACTTGTGTATACATTACAGAAAGAAAATCCCAATCACCAGAACTCCTCCCTATGGAGGAATCCACATTCTGTCATAAGAAAGGCTCAGTGAAAATAAGGGGGGTGGGGGAGTTGACACACTCAGAATTCTTAAAGAAACAAGAATATTCAGCAAATTGCCTGCATAGTAAAAGGCAGGGGGAGGAGGGATGGGGTTCCAGTATGTAATAGGGTAGAAATCTGGAGGGAAGAAAAAAATAGTGAGGAGCAGAGAGACAGAGCTAGAGAGAAACACATTAGAGGTGCAGAAATAAAAGCTCTGAGGGCAGGAGTTCCCACTGGGGATATTTTGGTGGAAAAAAGATATCCTGTGGAGTGTGACTCCTTCCTGTATCTCTCCAAATAATTATGAAAACCTAGGGGGAAAAATACCCTCACATATACTTTGTAGTAGTAAGTTGTGTGGAGGGGACCCATTGGAGGGCCTGAATTCTGTATCAAGGCTCAAAGTACCACCATAAACTCCCTCATTCCCATGATTACCACACTTCCCATTTCTTGGCATCTTTAGCTTAGTTGAGGAACAATCCACTTAATAATTTGGCTATTTTTAACTCACAAATGCACAGAAAAAATGAGACGTACAAGATTTTATGTTTGTGCATATTTCTAAATTGAAAAGCAAGTAAGGGAATTTAAATAAATTACATCTGGACTCAGAAACATGCCAACATTCAGTCAAACTAAAGTGCCTTATATGCACAGCATTTAAACCAGTTCTAAGTATTTCTTGAGAAAACACATTTTGGTTGGGTTTTCACAACCCTGATGTTTTCTCTTGTTCCATTTAATTGACTAATGTGAATGGAGGCGTGGATAAAAGGACCATTGTCATGGCACCTGATCTCTAATCTCTATGCTTGCTGTAGCATTGAAGCCCAACTTCTGTTTTCTGTAGTAACTGGGGCTACCCATCAGTTGGTTGACAGTGTGTCTGTTTTAAATCCCTGATGGCAATAGATCTTTTCCCTCAGGTAAGTATTAATATTACCCTTTCTTTTTTCCATAGCCCAACTGCATAAATCAATTGTGTTATCACCTCTTTTATAGAACTCACTTGAAATATTCCCATCTCTCATGGAATCCTACCTAGCATGTGTCCCATACCAGATATACAGCAACATCCCTAGCTTGTCAGTCTTCCCTTTGGGATATAACTATGGTACATACTAGTATACTTCCCTTATTTACGGTGTTATTCTGTACCATGCATTGTTTCAAAATATATTTAAGCTAAGAACTGGAAAAGGATGATGAATAGAAAGCAGATGAAGTACAAGAAAATATGAATTATAATAATCCTATCTAATAAAAGACAAAAGGGTAATTAACCATACCTCCACTACGCTTCCCATTGGCTAATCAGTGAGATATGCAAATTAACTGCCAACAAATATGGCCGCTGGCAGCCATGCAGCTGAAGCGAGCAGGAGGCTTGCTTGCTCCAGTGATGGAGGAAGCCAAGGTTCCCCGCCTGCCGCGGCCCGGCTCTGAGCTCCGAAAGCAACAAAGTTTCAATTACAGAAGCCAAACAAACCCCAGATACCTGCTTTCAGCAGCCGAGGCCTCAGAGCTGGGAGCGCCAGTGACAGCAACAAAGTTTCAATTATAGAAGGTAAATAAATCCCAGAATAAAAAAAGAAAAGAAAAAAAGGAGAGGCTGGGAGCTTCAGTCGCCAGCCAGCCTGAAAACGGCCCTCAGCCCCTCACCCAGACTGGCCAGACACCCCAGCCGGGACTCCCACCCTGAAGGGGGTGTGACCAGCTGCAAGCAGCCATCAGCCCTTCACCCAAGCTGGCCAGGCACCCAAGCGGGACC